ATATGATGGAAAACTGAGTGAGGCAAGATGGGATTACAAATTCTTAGCTCAGTGAGGGCACATACAAAGTAGACTGAGACTCAGCTTCATTGTTCCTTTATTATAGCTCAGTTCCTTCATTTAGTGTTAAGAGTTTGAACACATTTTGTCCAAGTAAGAGAATTCTCTAACATGGTGCTTTCTAACAGGACCCCCCCCCATGTTACTATCATTCACCTGATACACATACACACACACACACACACGTAAATCACAGGGCAATTTTCACAAAACTGATTTAACAAAGTATGTACAGATAAGTGAAGGAAACAATATTCTTTTCACCGTTCATGTACTTCCCTGAATTCTAACCACGAGAGAAATAATCAATCATTACATCAAGTGAAAGGTTAAAATGCCATTTTATCACATCTTGGAATTTTTGACAGTAACGAATGTTACCAATCCCTGTCCATTATAGGTACATTATACTTATTTTCTAAGGAGTGCCACTGAAAGGATGTTTTAAATCAAATTACAAATGACTACAAGTTGTATTACTAAATATACATTATCTTACATATTTTGCAAAGTTTTATGTCTTAGAAAAATATCTCAAGAAATTTCCATTTTCAACCCCTGAAACATAATTTTTATATAAAATTCACTGCTAGGCCTTCCAATTTCAAATTAAACTGACAAATCACTGGGATTAAACCAGAGTTCAACAAAAAGTTATAAAAAATTTTTATTCTACTCATGATCCAGTTTTTCTGATAAGATGTATCCAATAATCACTGACTGTTGTGCACTATGGCCTAATGTTTCATATGTTATCTCAAAATAAAGCTAAAGTGGTTATCTGCACATCTGCATTGTGTACTTTGTTTTCCCATCCAAAGGCAAAAATGGAATAGCCATTCTCCCCAGAAAGGCTGGAATAATTTCAGAAACTAAGCCCCTGGACACAAAATAGTATCAAAACATATTAAAAATTCCAAGCATATTAGTTTCCTATGTAAAGGGCACCTATGATCCTTCAGAAAATGATTATATCAAGACCACAAAGGGTTCCAAACAGGAAATACAAGTAAAAATTACTTTATGTGGTAACTTTCATATTATGTAGTAATTTAAGCTAAAAACATTTATACCTCAAACCATAAAGAATGTCAAACAGCCAGTACAAGTGAAATCCTACTTATGTGATATGGCATCTTATATACATAATAGTAAGAATTAGAACCACTAAAGTATTAGCCATTAAAAGTTCTGTTTCATTGGTCTGCTTTTATCACTGGGAAATAAATGTGAGCCACATTTGTGAATGACAAAACTCATTTCCATTCTTTTTGGTTCCATGCCACAAATGCCAGAGTCATACTATAGACGTTTGTAGTATTTAAGAACATTTACACAAAATTGAAAAAATCAAAATTCTAAGGGAAGAAAGTATAGGATGCAAGAATCTTGGGGGGAAGAAACAACACATGGGCATATGTTAAGAACTATATGTAAGTGGTGGTATATTTGGGTGGTGGTTCTCCTTCAGGTATTTCCATACTCAACAGACCTTTCTGCTTAATCAGAGATCATCCTGACCGTTGAGGAGTTGTGGGGGAGGGGAGATGGCTCAGAGGGCATCTTCTCAGTATCCTGAACTAGACTTTCCATTTCTGCATATTCCTTCTGGTCTGTCCTACATTTCAGATGGAGCACCGCCAAAGATACACCCTTGTGATATCAGAAGACTATATCCAACGTATATGTAATGGATTAATTTTGTAAGTCAAACTCCAAAGAAAATATCTAATCTGGAGAAGTCTATTACTAATACAAAAATAACAAAGAAAATATTTATATTAGAAATCACTCCCCAAATGGTACCTCTTTAGAGTTTAATATTCCAAGTTTAGTAAAACACTTAGCAAAATATCTATTCAATAAGATAAATATGTCCTAATCAATGGAAAGAAGGAGACACACAATAAAAAAACCAAAATTGATTCACTGACTAAAGAGATGGTGGAAAACATGTCAGTTGCAGGAAAACAAAACAAACTAAAACTTATTTTTTCCCCAATCTGGTTCTCAGAAAGATTCTTAAATTCTTATTATTTTGGTTTTAAATGGATTCAAAAATTAAAACTCTAATGCAATCTTCAATCCTATCCAAGCACAAATCCCCAGGTAAAAACCAAAAACCTGCCAAAAAGGAAGTCTTTCACTATGATTCAGTTTCCAGATGCTGATATCCATAAATGGCTAGAAGGTTATGAATTGCTAATTCCCATCTCCCCACCAATAAAAGGCAAACCAGCTCAGCAGCGAAAATTCCCAGGAAAGCAAGGTTCCTTCTTAGTCCTAAAGCAGCCATCGCCTAAGTGCAGCTCCCTGCAGCCAACAGCATTAATGGACGCTGCACTGCTGTCCTTCCCTGGAGACAGAAGCCAGCACTACTCAAGCTTCTCACGTAGCAACCAGAGCTCCAGAGCCAGCAGCTGCTGCTGCCTTGTATACTCACCCTGTGATCTAACCCAAAGGAACAACCTTCTTTTTTACCCCACCCCCACTCCTTACACACTTTTTTTTTTTTGGACCAGTGCTCCATGCCAGAAGGGCTGGAATTATGCTTTTAGAAAGAAACGATCCTGAGGTCACCCTTTAAACTAAGGTCGTTTATTATAAAAACCAACATTTACCAAATTCCAAATAACCATTTTAATTAAGCCAGCAATTTAGGAGTGAAGAATAAGCTTTGGTCTTTAGAAGGCCAATTTTCCAAGCACTCTGCAGTCGAATTTAAATTTGCAGCTAGAAACTAAGCTTGTGTCATGCCCTACCAAAGGACATAATTCATTTTTCTACACATAATGATAGTCTGAGTAAACCTTAAAGACTCTAATCCCATAACGGGCCAGAATTTTTGGCTACAGAATAAAAAAAAACAAAAAAAAAAAAACAACTAATGATCCTCCTGAGAAAACTGGAAGAAATCCATTAAAAAAAAATTTCCTGTGTCCTCCAAGAAAAACCTCCGATTATGCATTCTCTGCTTTAGTCCTAGTTCAGATTCCACAAATCTAAAATTACCAATTACAACCCTTCTCACAGTGACCTAAAAACATTAATATAAAATTAACCATCAAAAATAATTTTTTTTTCAAATAGGGAGTACGAACTATCTTGAAAAGCTCAGAACACTCAACTCAGCTAAATCCTGCCCAATCAAAAGTATGGCTATGTAACATCAGCCCAACAAAGAAATGTAAATATGACCTTGGTCACAAATATGTCATCTAAAAACTACTTGTTTAATCAAGTGATGAAGAAAAATTAGTAGAGAACATGGAGATTCTTTCAGCACCAGGAGCAACAAGAAAGAAAAAAAAAACTGGAGAAATGAACTTAAGTGTACAGACAAAAAGCCCAGCAAAACCCAGAGCTCTGGGCAAGAAATGAGTCCTGGCGAACACATTGCACAAGTAACATGAGAAAGCAGAAAATGCAGGTCATACAGGCACCCCTGACCCAGACCAGCAGGGCCGGCTGCAGCATCAGCACCCAGGAGAAAGACCACTTACGCCTAAGAAGTAAGACGAGCCCAAGGAGCTCTATAGAATAAATTAGCATAGAAGGGGTTTTCCCAACAGCTAAACTTTCCCTAACATGCGATTTACCTACTGGAAACCAGGGCTACTTCCCACCATTCACTTCACACCCCTGGCTGCTCGCACGCAGGAGGAAAGAATTCATAAAGGGTAAAAAGAAAAAAAAAAATCTCCTGCCTTTAAAAAGACGTTCTCAAAAGATCGCTCTCCACGCCCAAGGCAAAGAAAACGACAGTCTGGCTAGACTCCAGCCTCGAACCCTACAAATGCAGTGGGGGGACCAACCTCAGAGACACTGGGGGAGGGGTACAAGTCTGGGGGGGAGCCCGAGAATGAGAGGTCCGGGGGGTGGGGGTGGTGGCTAAGGCAACGTCTCCGAGGTGGGAAAAGGAAGCAGCCATCGGAGACAGGAGCCCAGGAACGAGAAGGGAGGAGGAAGAAGGCGCCAAGGATGGCCACGGAGGGGGGTTGGGGAGGGGTGGCGATCGCGGGGCCCCGAGAGCGGCCAGAGTTGTGTGTCACCGAGGCCGCGAGGATGGGGGTGCTGGGGAGTGGAGGGACCGAGGAGGGGGGGTAAGAAAGTATGCCCTTCCATTCCGGGAGGGAGGCAGCCCGAGGCCCGTCCCCGAGTGGGGAAAGGTAAACGTGCAGGGGGCAGATCCCAGGAAAAGGGGTGCAGAGGCGTGGGGGGAGGGGAGGCGTCCTGCCCCGGGAATGGTCCGGAAAGGGTCGCGGGCCGGACCACAGAGGGAACCCCGCTCCCCGGGAAACGGAGGTGCGACGCCGCGCGGGGGGTGGGAAGGGACAGCATCCTCCTCCTCCTCCTCCCGAGAGCCCCAGCAGAGCCAGGCCCGCACGACCCGGACAGGGGACGCGGAGGAGGTGACCCTGCCCTCCCCCCCCCACGCACACGCTGTGGCCCGACCGTGAGGGCCGGTCTCTGCGGCCGTCGGACCCTTACCTTGTCCCGGGCGCTTGCCGGGGCCCGGGCCCGCGCCGCGGCGCACGGCCCTCCCGGGAGGCGGCGGGACTCGAGTTAGGCCCGACGCGGCGCCGCCACGGCGTTTCCTGGCCGGGTAGGGCCCGTGCCCGTGCGGTGGGGGCGGGGGACCGGAAGGCGGAGCGAGCCGAAGGCGGGGAGGGGGAAGGGCCAAGGGGAAGGGGGGGCGGCACTACAGTGTTGGCGGACTGGCGGGACTGGGGCCGCGCGAGTCTCTCCTCCGCGCAGGCGGGCGGCGGCCGCCCCTCCCCCGGCGGCGGCGGCAGCGGCGGCGGCGGCGGCGGAGGCGGCAGCTCACTCAGCCCGCTGCCCGAGCGGAAACGCCACTGACCGCACGGGGATTCCCGGCGCCGGCGCCAGGGGCACCCGGGACACGCCCCCTCCCGCCGCGCTATTGGCCTCTCCGCCCACCGCCCTGCAGCCATTGGCCAGCTCGCCGCCAATCAACGGAAACCGCCGGGGCTGCCCAGAGAAGAGGCTGTGCTCTGGGGCTCCGGCTCCTCAGAGAGCTACGGCTAGGTAGGGGAGCGGAACTCTGGTGGGAGGGAGGTCTGACGGCTTGGGGGGATGGGTGGCGGAGGGGACCGACTGGTAGCTGAGGGGGGATTGCCTCGTCCGGCGGGAACACGGAGACATAACGTCGGTTACGCTGGGAGGGAAAGGGGTGGTCGGATGCGGGTCGGGAGGGAGGCCCGCCCTGCGGCAACCGGAGGGGGAGGGAGAAGGGAGCGGAAAATGCTCGAAACCGGACGGAGCCATGGCTCCCGCAGAGGGAGGAGCGCTTCCGGCTCACCTCTGGCCGCTGATTGGCCGCTTCTCCTCCCGCCGAGTGTGAAAACACAAATGGCGTATTCTGGTTGGAGCACAGCGCCTGTCAGTTACGGCCTCGGGCGTGCGCAGCCGCCTGGCGACGCTCGCGGTGCCCCCTGGGTGGAGCGGGTAGGTAGGTGGGGTGGGGAGAGCTGGCCGGGCGGGCGCGGTCCGCCTTCCGCGGCGGGGGAGGGGCGGGAGGGTCAGCGGGAGTACCTCCCGCGCGGGCGCTCCCCCGCCCTCCCCTTCTTCCTTCGGGGAAGACGGTTTGCCCGCCGCCTTCTCGGCCTCGGCCTCTGATTGGCTACAGAAGCCGAAGCCGGGAGACGGGCCCTTGCTATTGGCTGGGGTCCCAAGTGGGCGAGACCACTGCGCGGGCCCGGGCGGGGGGCGGCGGCGGTTGGTACGACCCGCTCTCCTCCCTGCGGCCCAGCGCCGCAGTGTCTGGCCCCGCGCCCCTGCGCAACGTGGCAGGAAGCGCGCGCGCTGGAGGCGGGGGCGGGCCGCTGGCCGAGGCTTCTGGGTGGTGGCTGCCGCGGCGCCGCCCCCGAGCGCCCGCCGCCGCCGGCAGGGCGAGGCCAGCCCGACCTGCTGCCGGCGCCCGTGGGGGCCGGCCGGCCGGTTTGGGGGCGGGGGGCGCCCGGTCCGGTCGGGTCGGCGCGAGCTGCGGCCCCGTGGCAGCCGCCCCGGAGGCGGCGGAAGAGGGCCACACCCTTCTGCGCAGGGGGAGGGGAGTGCTGCAGTACCTCGGAGGGAGTTTCTGCCGCCTCCCGCCTGCTAAGGACCGCCCTGGGCCTAGAAGAATCCCTGCCCCTCCCCCATTCCCCTCCCCTACTCCCCCGCCTCGTCATCGCCTCCACCTCCAGTCGCTTCTGGAGGATGGGCGGGATTCTCTGGCCTAGGCTTAGGGGCCAGCCTGGTGCCTGGGCGTTGTCCTGCAGGGCAGTTGAGCAGGTGTGAGATTGGAGTCCAAGATTTCTGTGTCTTCCCACGGACTTGAGCCTCCGTCTGTCGGGAAGTGATTATAATAGGGGTGGGGGAGGGAAATGGTTTTATGCAACGAGCCTGCATGCACCTTGTTAACTACTTGAGATCTTTTTTTTTTTTTTTTTGCTAGAGATGTAGGTGAATTAAGGCATACTCACCCCATTTGAGACGCTAAAATTTTGACCTTTGCTTGGGAACCCAGTGCTTCCTTCTCTTCCTCCACCTCCCTGCCTGCTCCTTTCTCCCTCTGCATCCCTGCCAGGCATCTTACAGCAGTTCTCACTCATACTTTGATCCCATTTTCCATTTGTTATACTTGCTCCTCCAGTTCTCAGATGAACCACTGGCTTTCTCCCTCTCCTGATCTTGGGTAACCTGATGAGTCATGAAACCAGACGGATTGGTTCCACCACAAATTAAGGCTTGAGCTGGGCATCGCTCAGCAATGCTTTTATTCTTTCCTGATGCACTTTCTTGAATGTTTTACCTAGGCTCTCGTTCTATCATTTTTCCTCGGCTGGGATTCTACACCCTGACTTTATTCACAGTCTGGATGACCTTGGCTACTGCTGTATTGAGAATTGGACCCGAGGTTCAGCAACATCTCCCTTTCTCCTTTGAATACCTGTAAATCTATTCCTTTATTTTTATTCTCATCAGTTAGTAACTGAGCTCAGATGGCTGTATGATAATAGCCTCCAAACCGCTGTCTCTGTCTCCAGTATAATTTTCCCATCTGTCTTACATGTTTCCAGGACAGTTGTCCCAAAGGAGAGATAGAGCATGAAAGTGACAGACGTACTTTATTACTGGTTCCTTACTGTTCACAGGATGAATTTTATCCTCAAGAATGTGATGCACAGGGTTCCTTGATAGGCTAATGTCAACAGCTTTTCTGTTGGTGACTCTTTTCCACATATACACACACAAACACTATGTGTCTACTCAAGTCACATTGAATTAATTGCTCTTTACCTAAATCACGGAGACATCATCATTTATCTTTGTAGGATGGTTTCTTCTTCGATGGTACCCCTGCTGTTGTGTACCCTTCAAGACTAAGATTCAGATGTCTTCTCCTCTGGTCTTGCCTTCTATGGTCTATGGTTCTATGAGCTCCCTATACAAAAAGTTGGCAGTGCTTTCTCCTGGCTGCTTAGCAGTTTGCATTTGCTTGAATCATAGCGTTTCTCAAATTGTCATTGCTGGCTTAAATAATCTTAACTATTCTGAGCTTCTTGGGGGTATAGTTTCTGATTGAGTCTTGTACTACTAAGCTCTTAGTATAGGCCTAGCCAGCCCTGAATAAAAGGGAGTGAGCAACATGTAAATGTCTTTGAGATTTTTTTATTCATTTTGACATTTGGAAAAGTGTCTGATGTGACTAAAAACTGAATTTTAATTTAAATTGCCACTGGACAGTGTAGTTACAGCCACAAACTTGTGTTTGTGTTGTGGGTTACAAAATACACATTGTTTTTTCTTTATACTCTATAGCAGTAAGGACATAATAGTTGGACATCTCTGGCCCATTGACTTATATTTTTTAACTACTTGTTTTTATGCTTAGCTGTATATAGCTAAAAGCTAAATCCAACAAACCATTACTAAAGATGAACCTGCCTTGGACAGCAGTGTGTTGAAAAAGCTAGTGTTGGTTAGTTTGGATTTTTTTTAGAATGTGTAATGAATTTTAGGAAGTGGGGTTTCATTAAACCGTAATGAAAGCTGCAGAATCAAAAGTCACAGAAGTTCAGTGAGAAAGGACTATATCTGATGCTGACTGAACCCTAAATTTTAGTCCTACAAAGTTTTCATTTTGGGGGAAAACTTAATCGTATCTTGAGTTACAGAAAATGATCACAAAGTAAACTTTATTCTGATGCAATATAAATTAATTTATATAATAAATTAAGGGTTAGTTTTTTTAACTTAAGTTTCTCCTTAGAATATGAGACCCTTAGGTCAGTGGTCTTCAAACCTTGGGTGTGCACAGCGACAGTTACCTTGTTATTCAGTGCAGATTCCCAGTCCGCTCAGATTCTGGACGCAGTCGGGGAAAGGAGGACTGCACAAGGACAGGCAGTAGAATTTGGTGTCTTTTCAACTTCTTCACTTGCTTACTGCAAACAGAGCTCCAGGGCTTTGGTGTGCCTGCTTACTTGACAAATGCTCACAACTTCAGAGGGACACCCTTCCGTGATACGTGTGTTCCTTCTACTTTATCCCTCAGTTTTTCCTCACTGAAGTGTTTTCTTTTTTGCCTTCCAAAATACTGGAAAACATTTCGAAAGGCAAAGAGGAATAGTAAATATTTTTGGAAACATGCCAGTCAGGTGGTTTTTCCTTTAAAAGGAACGTTAGGTTATTCGAAATATATATATATATATTTTAACAAGAAAAGTTCACCTCATTTTTCGTGTGTTTCTCCTGCTAAATTGCTTTCCTTAAGGGTACAATGATTTCAATCTCCAGTGCCGAAGCACAGATCTGGGAACTCTTGGTTTTGTTGGTTTATATATGAAGTTGGTTTTGAAATAGTAGTTAAGCCCACAAAGCCATAGAAATGGCTGCTTTTATGGAGAAACTTTAGGGTCATACCTATGTCTACTAATGTTCTGTTCATAGAGGAAACTGATGCCTCATGGTCTCTGAATACATGTGCCCACCATTCAGCTGTTCCTTAGTTTTCCTGTACCAACCATTGCAATTATCCTCTCCCTGTACCTTACTTCCTTGAGCTTTTTGTCTGTCTGAATGAACCAGCTACCTGTCTCGTTTTGAAGTAGTTCCATATTATTTCCTGTACGTAAGGGACAAAAATTTATTAAGTATATTAAACACTTGATTGAGAAAGTTGGCGAAAGTTTTGTGAGGACTTGTGATTTTTTTTTTTCTTTCACTTTGCAAAATTTGAACTATGTAAGGTTTCTTCCATATGTTTTTTGTGAATTGTAGGTTTGGTTTAATTGCATAAATATTTACAGCTGTTAATCCAAGTGGTAGGTCTCAGCATCACAAGAGTAAGACTTTTAGGCCGATACTAATTATAGAGCAAGCACCTTGTTCAGTCACAAATATGGGAGTCTGGGACTTGACTTTGCAGGTTGAGAACTTTTGATTTTGTTAATTTACCTAATTTACCTGGCATACTAGTTTATTTTAGATGACATACTTCTCTAGAAAGTTTTTTTCCTTGTGCATGACTGCCTGTTCTTGTTAGATTGGGTAAGAAATTGGCTTACGAGAGAACTGTTAGTATTGAATCAAATATTTAGGTTTATTAGATCGAGGCCAGTGTTAAACTTGATGAATTTTCCCACTCTGTTATGGAGTACACCTTGATAACGAGAGTCTATTAATATTTCTGCTTCTCTCGTTTTATCTCAGTAATAATTGCATTAAGTAATCCTGTTTCCAGCTTTTTTCCTAGAGTTCACCGTCATCACTGACCTTTTGTTTGTTCTGATACTTTGTCGCCCTTTGTTTTCTAGTTTAGGGGTTTTTGTTTTTTCTTTTTTAAATGGGTTTAAGATTGGCTCTTCTTGCTGACAGCATTAACACATTTTCAGGTCACGTTTATAGATTTGACTATTTTATCTCCTAACTAATACCAACTCTAGTGTATGGATTCTGGTCAATTGAGTCAACAGTCTTCGCAGTCTTTCCTCTTTTTACTTACCTTGGTTTAAAACCTGACCCCAGACTTTGAGGTATTGCTTACTGTGACAATGACAACATATTCTTGTGCATACTATGGGCAAAAGCTAATGGATAGGTAGAAGAAATGAACTAATTATAGTCATTGAGTGCCTTTTGTGTACAGAGTACTGTAGATGTGGTAGAAATAGCAAGAACTAGAATTAGAAGTGGTGCCTGAATTGCTGCAATCTCTTGATAAAACTTAAATGGATGAGGAGTTACTTCTTAAAAGTGAGCAAAGAAAAGTGGTTTCTACTGGTTAAGATGCTGTGAACATTGCTAAAATGACAACAAAGGATTTAGAATGTTACATACACTTAGTTTGAGAAAGCACTGGCAGGGCTTGAGGGAGCTGACTCTAATTTTGAAAGAAGTTCTGTCATGCTACAGAGAAGTCTTTGGTGAAAGGAAGTCACAAATTGATATGGTAAACCTCACTGTCTTAAGAAATTGCCAAAGACTTACTGACCTGCTGTAGCCACCATCCTGATGAGTCAGCAGCCATCAACACTGAGGCAAGACATTCCACCAGCAAAAAGATTGTAGCTTGCAGAAAGCTCAGGTGGTCATTAGCATTTTTTAGCAATAAGGTGTTTTTCAATTAGACATACTGCTGTTGCACACTTAATAGACTACAGCACAGTGTAACCATAACTTTTCTGTGCACTGGGAAAGCAACAAATTTGTGTGACTTGCTTTTACTGTGATGGTCTGGAATTGAACCTATAATATCTCCGGGGTATGCTTGTATATTTAGTGTGGCTCTATATATAAAACCCTATTTTACAGAGTAGGAAACTTTGGCTCAGTGAGGTTGAGCAATTTTCTCATATATAACATCAACAGATTCAGGGCTGACGATTTGAACTGTGGTCTGACAGTTGGTATTCCACATCAGCTTGTAGTGCTACCTTTACCTCATGGAAACATTCTTTTTTTTTTTTTTTTTTTTTTGAGACAGAGTCTCACTTTGTTGTCCAGGCTAGAGTGAGTGCCGTGGCGTCAGCCTAGCTCACAGCAACCTCAAACTCCTGGGCTTGAGTGATCCTTCTGCCTCAGCCTCCCGAGTAGCTGGGACTACAGGCATGCGCCACCATGCCCGGCTAATTTTTTATATATATATCAGTTGGCCAATTAATTTCTTTCTATTTATAGTAGAGACGGGGTCTCGCTCTTGCTCAGGCTGGTTTTGAACTCCTGACCTTGAGCAATCCGCCCGCCTCGGCCTCCCAAGAGCTAGGATTACAGGCGTGAGCCACAGCGCCCGGCCTTCATGGAAACATTCTTTTAGGAGGTTTAATCTGGCTGCAGGATACAGCATGGATTATAGGGATGGAGAGATTTGGAAACAGAGAGACTGTTTAGGAGGTTCTTTTAACAGTAATCCAGACATGAAGTGATGAAATCTGGCCTAAGAGTGATGGAAAGGAAGTTAAAGGGTTCAGTGACCGAATTTCAGTCACTGAGCAGGGAGGAGGGTCTCAGAACATTGCTTCTCAAGGAAGCCTTTCCTGGTGCCCTCACCCTCCTGCATCGAGCTCCCCATGTGAGTGCTGTCGCTGCGCTTCTCAAATGATAATTGAATTAGTGATGTGTAATTTTGTTTGCCTACTTCTTTAGGTTGCTACTTGAGGGAAGGACAATGCTTGCTTATGGCTGTTTCCCTATTGCCAAAGGACAAGGAGGTCTTCGAGGTCAAAACTGTTTTCACACTAGCAAGATGTTTGCCTTTTCCACTCATTCCTGCAAGTGTACAGAGGCTACATGATGCGCAGTGACAGCCTTGATGTTAATGAATGGTGCTGCATGTTCTTGACTTTTCTAAGGGGGTGGGTAAGTTGAGGTATACATATTTGTTTTTAGAAGTTCTTTTATAGTTTTGGTTTTTCCTTCCATTCCCCGCCTTTTTAGAAATTAACTTGCCTTTTTTAGGTTATACTTTCTATAATCTCTGCATCCTCAATATCATGCAATTATTATTTTAAAAATCATGTAGTTGTCATTGTGGCTAAGCATAAATATAAGTGTATTTCGTTGTCTTGTTAAGTATTTTCCCAAAACTTCTAAATTTCAAAGTTTTAACTACAACTTACTGTAGATTTTAAGAACTTTTTTCTAAAATAAATTTATATTTTTCTCGTATTTAACACATTTACCGCCACACTAGAAAAAAAATTTTTTTTCCCTTGGGGCCATGGTGTTTTATTGTGAAAATAAAAACTTATTAATGAAAATTTTGATGAAAAATTTGTTATTTTTTTTCTGTGCATGAGTTATATGAAACTAGAATCAATTTTTACACTGCACACCACATGAGTTTCGACTTACAAAGTACGTACTGAATTTGTTTATGAGAATGGAGTCTCTTATCATTCCGCAGGTATTTAGTTGTGCTGGAGTGGCCTTGGGTGGTCCTGGAGGATGACCTCTGAATCATACCCCTGATCATGTGCGACAGTATCATACTGTCATCAGATTCGTTCAAGGGGAAATGCACAACCGGAAGTTACAGTGGTTGGAGAACACAGGCCAGCACGTGTGGCGTGCCTGGGTGGGCCTGCTGAGCAGGGAGACAGGAGGTGGGGAGACGTGCTGATTGACAGTGAAAACAACGAGCAGAGGTTGCACGGCACACGGGCAGCCATGGACCTTCCTGCCCGGCCACCAGTCCTACTTTAGCTTTTGTGACCAGGGCTGTGATCGTCATAGAAGTTTATTTGCGTTTTTCGTTCTCAAGAGAAAATGTCTAGAGTAGATGAGCATAAGGAATTGTTGGAGGAAATAGCGAACGAAGGTCTGGACAAGAGCAATGACGGTGTTGATCTGTTCAGGGGTGATTCAGAGGAGTGGCGTCCTGGCGGAGACGGGACAATCTGATAGTAGTTGAAGCCCACCGAGGAAAGCTAGAACATTACATGCAGGTCTTTCCAGTGGGGAAGGTTGCTCAAAATCTATTACTGAAACAAACAAAGTGGTTGTAGCAGATTTCAGTGAGAGTGATTCTTCATCAGATGTTTCTAAAGAACCTACAGTGACCAGTGTAAGTTCTCTAACCTGGGGTCCAGTTTCAGGAAGTAACATGAAGATTTTTGACTTTGTTGAATATAACCCTGGTGTTCCAACCAAAATTGCAATCAATATCCATGAAAAAACACTTTATGATTTTTTCAAATTCTTCATAACAGATGATGTTATTGACTACATGGTAAAGGAAACTAGTATCTACGTTGTGTAAAGTCAGACCCCACCCCCAACTAAAAGAGTGGTATGATGTTTTCAAGAAATGGAACGACTTTTGGGAGTATAGTTTTGGAAGATCCAGCCACTTCTTGATTGTCGTCTTGAAAGGTTTAAGTTTGCTGTAGTTCCAGATGACAAAATATGTATTGATGAAACAATGCTGCCATTTCGTGGACGTTTGAGTTTTATACAGTACATACAAAAAAAAAAAGTGCCATAAAGTTGGTATAAAACTTTTCAAACTTTGCCTAAAAGATGGTTACACCTGGAATGTGAAAATTTATTGTGGGAAGGAAGCAAGATCTGGCATTTCTGTTTCATCCTCAGTTGTCGTGAAGTAGTAAAAGGTTTACGAGGTGGTGGACGTGTTTTATGCACTGACGACACCACACCAGCAGCCACCCAGCTCATCAGCTCCCCGTGTGCCCTGCACGTCTGTGGGCACACCGAGGAGTAACAGGAAGCTAAACCTGCCAGATGCAGTGAAGGCGGAGCTGAACAAGAGCGAGGGAATTGCTCGAGAGACATCCTCCTCAAATGGAAGGATGAGAGAGACATGCTGATGCTGAATGCTATGCATGGCGAAAACCAGGCGTCCTCAAACTGCAGCCCTTGGGCCACATGCAGCCCACCTAGCACATTTATCCAGCCCACCAGGTGTCTTTGCCACCACTGCCTGTCCTGCTTAGCAGCCAACTCGTACCAGGCCCACAGTGTACACTCTCCAGCAGTCTGAGGGACAGTGAACTGGCCCTCTGTTTAAAAAGTTTGAGGACCCCTGGCAAAGACACTAAAGCAGCTGAAATAAGAAAAGGTGTTGCGGAAAACCACATATGATCACAGATTATCATCAAAGGCGTTCATGGGGCCAGGTGTGGTGGCTCACGCCTGTAATCCTAGCACTCTGGGAGGCCAAGGCGGGCAGATCATTTGAGCTCCAGAGTTCTAGACCAGCCTGAGCAAGAGCGAGACCCCATCCCTACTAAAAATACAAAGAAATTAGCTGAACAACTAAGAATATGTACAGAAAAAAAAATTAGCCACGCACGGTGGCACATGCCTGTAGTCCTAGCTACTCGGGAGGCTGAGGCAGGAGGATGGCTTGAGCCCAGGAGTTGGAGGTTGCTGTGAGCTAGGCTGATGCCACGGTACTCTAGCCCGGGCAACGGAGTGAGACTGTCTAAAAAAAAAAAAAAAAAGAGGCTTTCATTGACCTTGACCTCTCATACCAAATGAAATCATTCATGTTCTTTGAGATGTGGTATAAAGTGGTTCAAAAAATTAGTAGTAGAACTAATCACAGGACCAGCTTTGGTGAACTCGCTTGTTCTCTACAGAGCTGTGAACAAAAAGATCTCTATCATAAAATTCAAAGAACAAGTTTGCCTAAAACTTCTCCAGACAGATGAGACACCTACTGCAGTGCCACCCCTCCCGTTGCCATCTGTGACTTGTTCTCTCACGAACATGGGCTCTGCCAGAAGATGTACTGCGTGTACGACAGAACACAGCTGAGAAAGGACGTGGATATGCCATGAAAAGATGTAAATAGACAGCATGGAAATGCAGCAAATGTAATGTGTACTTTTGTGTAGAATGCTTTTTCCTAAAACATACACCAATAAAAAAGTAATATAAAAACTTGAAGCCGGGCGCTCACACCTGTAATCCTAGTACTCTGGGAGGCTGAGGCGGGCCGATTGCTCAAGGTCAGGAGTTCAAGACCAGCCTGAGCAAGAGCAAGACCCCGTCTCCACTAAAAATAGAAATTAATTGACCAAAAATTAGCCAGGCATTGGTGGTGCATGCCTGTAATCCCAGCTACTCGGGAGGCTGAGGCAGGAGGATCACTTGAGCCCAGGAGTTGGAGGTTGCTGTAAGCTAGGCTGACTCCATAGCACTCTAGCCTGGACAACAGAGTGAGACTGTCTCAAAAAAAAAAAAAAAGAAAAAGAAAACTTGAAAATTAGTAACATAAAAAGTAATGTGAAAACTTGAAAAATAGTTCATAAGGGTAAAGTGTTGTTCTTGACTTGTCAGGCTTAAGTATAATTTAATAAGAATGTTGAATTAGATTTCACAAACCAACTGCAGGGTTTTGCCCAAGGGCCGCCTGTCATATAACGGGTATGCTGTCGTATGGCAGCATGAGTTGCCTTGGCACCGTGTGGCTCCCAAGGTAGAAAGATGTATGCTTCATGAGGCCCAGGGCTTAAAATCAGCATCAATTAAATGCAACTCAAGTGGCAGTTAATGTGTTAAGAATGGATCATTGGCTTAAAGATAAGACTACTTCTCTTTACCTACTTCTCATCTATGTTTAAAAATGCCAAAAAATAACCAAGATTGTCTCTGGAAGGAAGGATTGGCTCAAACTGTAAGAAATGAAAATAATGAAAGCTAACATTACAGGTTTTCAAAACAGAAATGGATAACCTACTGAAGCATCTTAAAGGATAAGTTAACTAACTGTTATATTGGTTGGAGAAACACAAAATAGCTGAGAAATTTGTGTTCACTCTGCTGAATGAAAAGTAGATCACAGTCGTGCCACTTTTGAATGATACAGCTAGTCATTGAAGATTTATGTGCAGACACAAACTGAGTTAGTATCTCATTTAAGTACTTAATACAATGTAAATCATTGCTACACTGTTTATTTGTATTATTGTATCTTCTATTTTTTCCGTATAGTTTCGATCCACAGTTGGTTGGATCCACAGATGGGGAACCTGAGTACATGGAAATGGCTGAGTCTGTAAATGTGGCTGGACTTCCTACGCTGACTTGGACTTGCCATGCATTAGCGTGAGCTAATCAAATATACTCTTATGTGACAGCTTGGCAACAGACAGAACATGTCCTGAAATAGTCCAAGTGTGGAATACATTTGTTAATCTCATGGTGTATCTTAAACAACTATACATTGACTTCTGGATTAGTGGTGAAACTGCAATAGTGGGGAAAACTTGAACCTTGCACAGATCACGGCAGTGGAATCAAACTAGAAGTTATTCTTCACAGTCATGCATTTTACGTGTAAAATTCCTCAAAAAGAAAAAGCTAGTTTTACCTTAAAATATCCTTGTGAAAGCAGTAAAATTATTTTGTTAAATAAATCAATTGTATTATATTGGTTGGAGAATACCTAACTTTTTAATGTGAGTGATGGAATGAAAAGTGTGCATGAAGTTAAGATGGTTGTCAAACTGAGTCACCTACTATTTTCTTGGACCTTAATTTTTACCTGAAGGAATGACAAATTTTGTTTATTCAAAGTTAGCTGTTGGCCATTTTCTCAAATATGAAGGAGGTGAACCTGTCAAGGAAAACAACTAACACCAATAGTCAATGATAAAATCTACACTTTGAAGTGAAAAATCAGAATTTGGGGAAAACTTGTGTCTACGATTAGGAACTTGACAGCTTCCTGATACCTTTTTTAAGAGATAGTGATGCTGATGAATATGATATTTTTAGTATTAAGTTTTTTGTTTTAATTTCTAATATGATAAAACATTGGTAAACAAAGGCATTTAAGGCCCTCAATTTTTAAGAACATAAGGGATTCCAAAGCCAGTAACTGAGAAAAATGGCAGCTCTAGCACAATACACACAATAAACACTGAAAACCTATCAAATGACTGGATGGAGTTAAAAATGACTCCCAGTATTAAACCTGGATGACTAAGAAAATGGGTATGGTAGGACACGGAGCAGGTTTTAATGAAGAAAAGAATGTTCATGTTGAATTTTAGGTGGAATATATAAAACAAACTATAGTAGGCAGTTGGAAATAGAGAATTTGGGCTTGAGGTAAAACAAGATACCAAAAGGATTTCTCCTTTCTGTTGAAAAGTTGTTTCTACCATAACTTAAGTGAATAGTTGTAACATCACCACTGGTTAGGAGAGATGTTAGCCCGGGACAGAGGTATAAAGGGTTGAGCATGTCAGCACGTCCAGCCCCCTGACCGTGTGTCACCTCGGGACTAGAGTCCCCACCAGCAAGAAGACTCTCGATAGATCTGGCCCCTTGACTGGACTTCTCAGCCCCCATAACTCTAAAATAAATTTCTTTGTATGCGTTAAGAGTACAAAGGAGGCCGGGCGCGGTGGCTCACGCCTGTAATCCTAGCACTCTGGAAGGCCGAGGCGGGTGGATTGCTCGAGGTCAGGAGTTCAAAACCAGCCTGAGCAAGACCCCGTCTCTACCAAAATATAGAAAGAAATTAATTGACTAACTAAAAATATATATACAAAAAAAATTAGCCGGGCATGGTGGCGCATGCCTGTAGCCCAGTACTCGGAGGCTGAGGCAGGAGGATCGCTGAGCCAGAGATTGAGGTTGCTGTGAGCCAGGCTGACACCACGGCACTCATTCTAGCCTGGGCAAGAAAGTGAGACTCTGTCTCAAAAAAAAAAAAAAAAGAGTACAAAGGAGATGGCTGGATGCGGTGGCTCATACCTGTAATCCCAGCACTCTGGGAGGCTGAGGTGGCTGGATTGCTTGATGTCAGGAGTTAAGAACCAGCCTGAGCAACAGTGAGAACCTGTCTCTACTATAAATAGAAATTAATCGGCCAACTGATATATATAGAAAAAATTAGCCGGGCATGGTGGTGCACGCCTGTAGTCCCAGCTACTCGGGAGGCTGAGGCAGGAGGATGCTTGAGCCAGGAGTTTGAGGTTGCTGTGAGCGAGGCTGACGCCACGGCACTCACTCTAGCCTGGGCAACAAAGCGAGACTCTGTCTCAAAAAAAAAAAAAAAGAGTACAAAGGAGTAACAGGGTAAGGCCTGTTATAAACAATGGGCTGTGTTGTTTTCACATTGTGGAATATACATTTTTAAATTTGGTATGCAGACCTGTATATATATATGGTGTTTCTCCTGAACTTTTTAATGTACTGAACAAGGTAAAGTAATTAAATTTTATTTTTTTCTCATAGAATTTGCAAACTTTTACCATATCCTCACTGAACCTCACATGACATGTAACATGAACTTCTTGTAATAGAAAGGGCTATGTTGAGAATAAGGATATCTCCTTTTTTTTTAAGGTGTATTTACTTTTATTGCAAAACGTCCTTAAAGGTTAACTAATCGTGAAGACACATCAGAGCGGGGAAGAGTAGTAAGTAACACGGAGGGCACAATTCTCTGGATCGGTGAAGCCACTTACCCAGGCAAGAACGTGGCGACTGTCGCTCTGCAGGGCTACATTTGCCTCTGCCTGTGCGGGGGTGGGTCTTGCAGTAGATGAACCACTAGCCTGCCTCTTCACCAGGTGGCAGTCCTTGCAGTGCTGCCCAAGCACACCCTTGGTCTTGAAACCCAGTGTGGGCTGCAGGCAGGATGAGGGCCGGCCCACAGTGGGGGCCATGGCGGGACTGGGGTGTGGGGGACCCGGCCAGGAGCGTGGAGAAGACAGGCCACCACCTGCAAGAGCAGGGGCGCCATGCCGCGGCCTGGCCTGGCAAGAAGGTTCCTGGCCGGCTGCGCACTGGGCGATGATACCTTCCTTTTCCCACGTCTGTCTCACTAATAAATATGAAGCACTTACAGACTTCAACGTACTTTAGGTATTTCACAGACCTTCCAAATTGCCTTCCTTTTTTTCCTTCAACTTACCATTTTGGTCCTTGTGGTAGAGACCTGAGCCTCCTATCTGACGTTGATGGGCCAGGGCCCACAGTTTGGGCAAAATTCCCCAAAAGCCTTGTCACCATTTTAAAAGAAATAAGCTAACCAAATATTCCCTGTTTTGCCACTCTGTTATACTGTCAGTCTCGGGACATACCTATCTTCCCAATTTGAATTGTAAAATCTCTCCCAGTGTTTACATCATTTTTCCCCCTCAAATGTATTGACTTTGATTCCTAATAACACTATAGGGCCCATAACTCAGGGATTTTTATGTTCTGGTTATTATAGACTCTCTTTTCCATCATTCCCTTAAAAACTAAGTTATTTTACGTAAGTTCATTTCCTCAACAAACACTAAGTTTCCATTCTGGCAGGTACTGTGCCACTGACTTTGTAAAACAGTGGTGAAAACACACGGTCTTTGTCCTGTTCTTGCGGATTGCTAGCCAGCCCTTCCTTATTTGAGGTTTAAATGGTTTCTTTTGTCAGAGGGCAAAAGTTGTTTTGTGTTCAGCCTATAAATGCAACTGTGCAATATGATGATGGTAAAAATGCCGGCCTGTTTCCAATTCATTGTTAAGTGTGGGGTAGGAGGTCACAGAAAAACCAGACTAGGACTGTTGGCTGTGCTGCTGATGTGAACTCTGTTCTTCCAACGGAAGGATGTACCACGTCCTTTTATTCGACATGGAGACATCAAAAGCTTAAAAACTTTTGAGTAATACGTACTATTCTATTACATAGCATGATACTGAAAAATCTGAGCTGAATGCAGCCGGATGCTCCGGAACAAACTGAAGACTGTAATGAGTTCCACATAAAGCCCCAACTACTCTTTGTCCCAGGGAAGCACCATTTTTACAAGTATTTAATGTTAAAGTTATTTCATTTTCCACAAAAATCTTAGGACAGGCTACAACTGGAAAAGCAACTAAATGTGAATAATAATCCAGGAGAAAATAAAAAAAAAAACAACCTTACATGACCCTCAAAGTTTCTCATTCAAAGACACATCATCTTGGCCGGCAACAGAGGCTTATGCCAGTAATCCTAGCACTCTGGGAGGCCCAGGTGGGAGGATTGTTTGAGATCAGCCTGAGCAAGAGCAAGGCTCCATCTCTACTAAAAAATAGAAATTCGCTGGACAACTAACACATATATAAAACAAAATTAGCCCGACATGGTGGCACATGCCTGTAGTCCCAGCTACTCGGGAGGCTGAGGCAGGAGGATCGCTTGAGCCCAGGAGTTGGAGGTTGCTGTGAGCTAGGCTGACGCCACGCACTCTACCCCGGGCAACAGAGTGAGACTTTTTCTCTATTCCTTGTAATAAACTAGCCAACAGGTTTATGCTTGGCTTTGAAAAGAAAACACACACGTTTGTGTACTGAAAGGAAAACAAATTTTTAATTTGGCTTGTTGGTCCCATACCATATCTACCACTATATATGCTATTTACAAACAGAAATGTTTTATAAAACTAACAATGAAGTATCTCTGTAATCTCTGATAAATCCTGGTATTCTATTTAAATTGTATATATTAATCTGAATAACGTATATTTTAATTCTTAAGGCAGATGGCAAACTTTCCTATATGTCTTGTGAAACTTCATGTTGTCGTGAGGCAAATCCTGTTCACAAAATGTAAATACACTTCATTTTTTGCGGTTGAGGTAAAGAACCTGAGCAAGTGAATAGCAAAGCTGATCAGCAATGAAATGTGGCCTGAGATGTAATTATGTTTTCTGCCTTTCCTTTAGGCCAGGGTAGCTCTGCACTTGCCACAGCTGAAAACAGGCTATAAAGCCTGAGGATAAAATGTTCTAAACCCAAATGCCAAAGCATTTCAGCAGGCTTTTCACTATGCATCTTTAAAGTGTTTTAAGCAAAATACTAATTACCCACTACCCCTTTGAAACAGCTTCAAGGAAAAGCTTTGCTTTCTCCTAAGACTTTTTCAATTCCATCACACCTTTTGCTAACTAGCATGAAGAGATTTGGACTGGTTTTAAGGAGTAGACTGCACTTTCGTTAATACTATTTTTCTCAAAAAGCAAGTTCTTTGTGCTGGCATTCCTAGTGCTAGGCAGTACGGACACCATCAGGCGTCTTCGTGCTTTGCGTTACTAAGGAGTTCCTCTTTCCCCATGGTGTTCTGAAGGGTGGAAGGCTGAGGCGTGCGTCCCAGAACGTAAACTGCAGCACGAAGGCCCCCGATGTTCACCCACACGGTGTCCACCTTTCGCCACACGTGGCGCATGCCCGACAACGCCTGTGTACGCACAGAAAGCATTACTACAGTTAGGCTCACACAACCTGCTTCTAAACCAGCTAGGAATCTTAACGGCCAGCAACAAAACAAATCCTTTTCCCAACTAATGTATCCAAGTATACTTAAAAAAGCTGCCACAGGTTGAGATTTTGACCTGATGTCAGGAACGAGCAGCACCTTGGTAAAGCACTTGGTGTCCTGAGTCAGCAGCACGGCTCGGCCCGTCCCAGGCGTGCACACGCGGCCCATCTCCCGCAGGCAAGCTGGATAAAGGTTCCAGTTTCTCTTCTTGGAGCCCATCCTGCAAAGGAAGGTCTAATAAGTCAAACATTGTTGCAAAAGACAAACGTAGGACTATATGAAAGGAGAAAACAGTTTCATGCATCCTGAAGCTTTGCCGTTACATGTCAATGAAATAAGCTGCGTGAGTAAACTGCTTAGAGTGCTGAACCAGAAGAAAAATTTGGGGTGGCAACTATGACAGTTATATAACTTGTCCTCTTAATAAATCTAATAAGCAGTCAACGATATAAACCAAACCAGCAATTAGAAATCATTTATCTGAGAAACAGAATCAAAACCAAGTCCTCAATCTTTTTGGGTAAAGTATTACTGTGTGATTCAAGAATGAGCTAGAAAGTGAATTACAGAGAATTTAAACATGAACCTCCTGTGAGGATAAAAATATAGTTCATACATTCCACAGTTCTCGGGGGAAACAGTATGTAAATGCATCATATTGTTATTAAGTGAAAAGCAGCTCTGTTAAATCTGCTAAAAGGAACTACAGATTGTTTTTTCTGACTTAGAAAAGAATCTCAAGGAAAATAATGAGATTTAGAAGATAAGTAGGTACTAGTGTAATGGGTGAAAGCAAAACTCATTTTTAAAAACACTAATTCCTACCTTTTTCCAAATGGCAAATCTGTTACGATAATGTCCACCGAGCCGGTTCTTAGTGGCAGATTGCAGATGTCCCACTGAACAGCGTCTATGGGCAAACCCCAGGACGGCTTGCTGTGGGGGCAAAGGAGAGGTGCTTCAGCTGACTGGGAAGCATGTAATTCTTAAAAAAATTTTGACTATCAGTAAAAATTTTAATACTTATATGAAGAAAATATAAAATCATAAGATACAGCTATTACACTGAAACCTAAAGTCTACAAAAATGACAAATTTAAAAAATGATTAAGAGTGCTTTTCAAAGCGTGTCAGCTGGGTCTGTAGTCCCAGCTACTTGGGAGGGTAAGGCAGGAGGACCACCTTGAACCCAGGAATTTGAAGATGCAGTGAGATAGGATCGCATGACTGCATTCAAGCCTGCGTGACAGAGCAAGACCCTGTCTCTAAAAAGAAAAGGTAAAATGGATAGAAATAGCACAGGCTAAATAGACAAAAAGTAAAGGTGTAGAGAGAGTTTGAACAACAAAATATTCAGAGGCCAGAAAGGAAATAATTTAAAAATATTTATCAAGTTTGGAAAAAAAAAAGTGATCATATACTAGGCCTCAAAACTTCAATAAAAATGAAACAAGCATCAGAATTCATCACAATAAAACAGGTTAATATTAAGAAAATCAAAGCCTTCCAACTACTTATATATGTAAAATCTAAAGTTGATCCAGAGACCAGCAGCATCAGCTTTTCCCAGGAGCTTGCTACAAAATGTAGACTCTTGGGTCCCATTCTGTACCTACTGAATCAGAATCTGTGTTAACAGTATTCCCCGGTGATTCATACATATATTAATACTTGAAAAGTCCTCAACAACTAGATCAGAAATATGATGAAGGCCAGGCGTGGTGGCTCACACCTATAATCCTAGCTCCCTGGGAGGCCGAGACGAGCAGATTGCTCAAGGTCAGGAGTTTGAAACCAGCCTGAGCAAGACCCCATCTCTAAAAATAGAAAAATTAGCCAGGTAGCAGGCACCTGTAGTCCCAGCTACTGGGGAGGCTGAGGCAGACAGTTTTAGCCCGGGAGTTTGAGGCTGCAGCGAGCTACAATGACACCACTGCAACAGAGTGAGACTCTGTCAATCAATTAATCAAATAAAATACAAATTATTTTCAATAAACTTTTAAAATTTAAACAGTCTCACAATATGTTCACCTTGGTTATAATAATGTCACAGTGTGTGGGGTATTAATTCATAAAGTCTATGAAAATTGATTATCTAAGTCTAAAAGATGCTAAGAAATCTTTTAAATTAAAATTTTACCCTTCTTAGCTGGACGAGGTGGCTTACACCTGTAATCCTAGCACTCTGGGAGGCCGAGCAGGATGGATTGCTCGAGGTCAGGAGTTCAAAACCAGCCTGAGCAAGAGAGAGACCCTGTCTCTACTATAAATGGAAAGAAATTAATTGGCCAACTAATATATATAGAAAAAATTAGCAGGGCATGGTGGTGCATGCCTGTAGTCCCAGCTACTCGGGAGGCTGAGGCAGGAGGATTGCTTGAGCCCAGGAGTTTGAGGGCACTCACTCTAGCCGGGGCAACAAAGCGAGACTCTGTCTATATATATAATACTATAGTTAACCACTACTCACGTACCTAGTAGCTACCCTATTATCATATAGTATCTATATATATAAATAAATAAATAAATAAATAAATAAATATAAAATTTTACCCTTCTTTAATTTGGCTCTTGGTCAATAAAGATGAGATGTTATTTGCTGCTCTGTTTACAGCCAGTGGATTATTATCACCAGCAATATGGAAACAGTCAGACCATTCAGTAGCCCCCTAAAAGATACAAGCATATATATATTAAAACAGAAGTACTTAATCCTCTTACCTGCACAGTAAAATAAAATAAAAAAAATAAATAAATAAAAAAATAAAAAAAAACCAAAAAAAAACCAGATGTACCAAACTGCAAAAATTAATTATTTCAATAAACTGCCAACAAGACAATCCAGTGCTTTTCTCAAGTGGCAAAACACTGCATGCTATCAACTGTGTTCTTCCCCTTGCTGAAAACACCCTCTTGTTCTTTCTCTGCTTGCTCAACTCCCGCCCGCTTTTCGCAGCTCAAATGCCACGTCCTCTGTGACATCAACCCCAGCTCTCCAAATTGTGTCTCTCTTGTCATCCGCCCCTCCCAGAGCACTATGTACACACATACCTCTGCCACTGTACCTGTTCTATTTTTAATTTCTTTCCCTGTGTGCCTCCCAACTGATCTGAGGACTCCTTGAGGACAGGTCTCGTATTTTACATTAAGTCTCTCACCCAGCACACTGAATAAACCCTAAATAAATCCTAAGTAAACATGGCTTGAAAAAACTAACCAAATCAAACTGACTAAGCCTATATACCCTTTTGTGGTTGTAGGAATTTACATAATATTGGAATATTTGAGAATTTCAAAATAAAATGCTATTTCCTTTATATCATGGGCATTTGAATAAATACCAGAGGGTTTTCTAATTTTAAATCGAAAACACGTCAGCAGAACATAAATACAAAGCTGCATCGTGTCAGTTGCGGATGCAGTGACATGTGACCCTAGGTCTGAACAGTGCTGCACGCAGACTGACAGGTGTGTGACGTACAGCAGAGAAAGGCTCTGCCTCTACTTGGGCTGAGTGGCAAACACCTCTTTCTGTGTAAACAGGGACTCACCTGTCTCCATCGACATAGCACTCGGGGTCTTTGCCCAGACACTGAGGTGAGGACATGCTCCTGTCCACATCCCAAGATTCAGACAAAAAGGAAGTTCAAGTGTGCCAGAAATGATGGTGAGCGGGGGTACAGAAGGGACCCACAGGGCTGGATGAAAGCCTTAGTGATTCTGGTCCCCCTTTTTTAAAACCTACTTACATTTTTAGCATCACACTGGGTTTTTTACAGTACTTCCAAGTTTTAAAAAATATTCTAGATGAGATATTTTATGCTTCAGTGAACAAATCTGTATATACTGCCCTATCAATTCCTTTCATAATTTTATTCATTTTTATCATATATTAGATTTTCCTATATTGGCAACTTCATGACTACTCTTAAATGGAAATGGCTCAATCTTTTTATCTTCCTTTTTTTTCCCCCTTTGGCTTTCTTTTTGGCTCCATTCTCTAGCTCTGTTGTGTGTTTCTTGACATGTGGTGACCTTACCTGCTATTTTATACACATAGCATAGTTAATGCTCAGAAACAGCACTGCTTTGTTCCCAGAATCCTTCTTGACCACAGTTGGGTTTTCTCTATGTGGAGCTCGTTGGCCAGAGTAACTTCACTAGCCAAATACAGTAGGAACATAGACTACTATGATTTCCTTCTTGGATTTTAACTCCCCAATCACAGATATCATTTTCTAATTAGATTTTGGATTATTTCTCCTTTTGTGGGTTGCTTTGGACTTGCTCATCTGTCCAATTTCTGCCTACTCGGAATCTGTAATATCTCCCCAGTTTATTCCAATTGGCTTTCAGTATACTATGTGGAAGAACGTACTGTATTTTCACACAAACACAAGCAATTTTACTGGGAGCTCCCTCTTTCAAATTGTTTATAAACATATAGATGAGACTGATTCAGGGAGAATCAGTATCTACTGTTACATATTCTCCGTTTAGGAAATGCCTTCCCATTTCCTGCTTTGCTTTAGGCAGTTTTCAGGAATCCTCTCAGCAGTAAGTTTGAAAACTATTTAAGAGCATTTGGTATATATGCTTGTCAGACTTCCTAAAAAATCTATGTAATGTTCACAGGTTTTCCCTGTTTACAACTATACTCACACCCGCTAGGAACTTAAGTGGATTAAGAAGCATAATCTCACTTTACAGAAATGAAAATCGCCTTCCTTCAGTTTATGCTTATGCCTTCAATTATCCTTCCCCACTCAAGCCTACCAGCTTGTCTTACAAAACGGGGACTCACCAGCAGTTTGTAATTCTCAGCTTCCTCTGTAATTCAGTGAATAGACATCACTATTTAGTCCAATAGCACTTGGCTATTGGAATGAAATAGTTGCAGTCTTTACACAAAATGTTCAACTTTATTATTGTAATTGTTTTAAAACTCTTGGGTCTGATGACCCAACCCTGGTGATTTCGTTATGTCTAATTTACCCATTAGGTTTACAATATTCTGGATATATCATTTGGTTATCTAAAAGCTAGAGAAGTATTATTACCTCTATTGGTATTGCCCCTGTTCCACACATTGGGTCGACTATGATATCGTAAGGCAGAGGATCGCAGAGCCTGGAGGAAAGAGAAGAGCCTCCGTGAAGAGATTTGACCAAAATCTGAGGCTTCCGCAAGGACGATGCCTGAGGCTATACCGAGGGACCTGCGACACCAGCCCATGAGGACACCGGTCTACAGTCATTTAAAAAATCAATCTGTAATTAATATGTTAACTCCACATCCTACCGTTCAGAAAAAAAATTATATATAACTGAAAGTCTCCTTTGACTGTCATCTGAAATTCCATTTCCTTCCCAGACGAAATTTAGCTTCTTAGACCTCTTAAAACACACACACAAGGCCGGGCGCTGTGGCTCACGCCTGTAATCCTAGCTCTTGGGAGGCCGAGGCGGGCGGATTGCTCGAGGTCAGGAGTTCAAAACCAGCCTGAGCAAGAGCGAGACCCCGTCTCTACTATAAATAGAAATTAATTGGCCAACTGATATATATATAAAAAATTAGCCGGGCATGGTGGCACATGCCTGTAGTCCCAGCTACTTGGGAGGCTGAGGCAGAAGGATCACTCGAGCCCAGGAGTTTGAGGTTGCTGTGAGATAGGCTGATGCCACGGCACTCACTCTAGCCTGGGCAACAAAGCGAGACTCTGTCTCAAAAAAAAAAAAAAAAAAAAAAAAATTTTTTTTTTTTTTTTTTTTGGGCAGATCTCAAGCTTGGAAAAAAAAAACTCTTTTATGTTCATTTACACTTAAACACATAAGAATCTCTGTTTTTATCTGCTTCACTGCACAGAAATGAAACACAGCAAAATTCACTCTACTTCCCCAATACAGTGTGTCCTTTCTCACGCAAACCCCCCAACCCCATTCAAAAAGCAGATGAACTACCATTTTCATTTTAAAAATCAAGAAAATTGAAATACTGATTGATATTTTCAGCATCACAAGGAGTCAATGTTGGATATAAGAGAAAGAAATACACCATTAGCTTTTAATCCTCTTCTTTATCCACTCAATTCCATACCTGTCCCCCACACACATACAGTCAGCACTGTGAGGGGAAATTCAAACCTAGGTGTCACTTTAATCTGAATGGCAAACCCATTCTCTCACCTGAGCATCCCATAGGCAAGAGTTGATCTAAGAGTTGTGGGTCCAAAATGTGTGATGTTTCTTCGGTGGAGACTCTCTTCAGTCAACGCAATGCCCACGATGACTTCATTATCGTGGATATTCAAAAGAACCTATAGTAAAGTTGAGTAAGACAAAACAGTTTCAGGATTATTCAAACCACACTTATTATTAAGACTTTTTGAGGCTTTACCAATTAAAAAAAATTTCTTTTATTGAAATGTACTTTGCATATTGTGAAGTACACAAATCTTAAGTGTACAGTTATTAAGTTTTTACCTATATATACTCTAGCTGCCACCCAGGTAAACATACAGAATATTTCCAATACTCGAGAAGGCCACCCCCCCAGTAAATACCCACTCAAGGTAATCAATAATTAATCTGACTACTAATACCATAAGTTGTTATTTTCTGAACTTCATATAAATTATGTAGTATATACTATATTTTATTCTTTAAACTTATTTTCTATTCATTCACTATATTTACCACCACATTTCACCCCAGTTTTTTATAATACAAACATATTGTGAGGGCTGATAAGTTGTTTAATACATGTTTAAATTTCTAACTTTTTCAGAAAAAATTTCAAATATACACAAGTGTTACAAGAATACTGGCACAGTGAAATCCCAAATATACTCTTTACCTAGATTAACCAACTGTTAACACGGTGGCCACATTTGCTTTTTCATCTGTTAATCTTACTATTTTTTTAAACCTGAGTCAATAATATCTGTGAAATAGGGGCACTTTTGTCTTAATTACAGTTTTCCTAACACAGTTAAACTATTCAAATGAAAAACAAAGTATCTGAGGTTGCTGTGAGCTAGGCTGATGCCACGGCACTCACTCTAGCCTAGGCAACAAAGTGAGACTCTGTCTCAAAAAAAAAAAAAAAAAAAAAAATCAAAGTAAAGGCCGGGCAGTGGCTCACGCCTGTAATCCTAGCACTCTGGGAGGCCGAGGTGGGAGGATCGCTCAATGCAGGAGTTAGAAACCAGCCTGAGCAAGAGTGAGATCCCATCTCTACTAAAAATAGAAGGAAATTAGCTGGACAACTAAAAATATATAGAAAAAATTAGCCAGGCATGGTGGCACATGCCTGTAGTCCCAGCTCCTCAGGAGGCTGAGGCAGGAAGATTGCCTGAGCCCAGAAGTTTGAGGTTGCTGTGAGCGAGGCTGACGCCACGAACTCACTCTAGCCTAGCCAACAAAGTAAAACTCTGTCTCAAAAAAACAAAAAAAAAACCCAATCAAAGTAAAAATAAAATGTTCCACAATCCTTCACCTAAAAGTTCCCCATCATGATCTTAACAATAGCTTCTAAGTTGGCAATTAAATCCAGGTAACATAGTTCCAGAAACTGTCCTTTGAGCCACCTTCTTAACTTTTGGACACCATTATTCTAGTTAGCCTATTCATTCCCATGGCAGCTATATGAGAAAAAAAAGAACAGGAAATTGTTCTCCTGACATGGAAAAAAAAAAAATTAGAGAGCCTAGTGACTTCCCCCAGATTCAAGTGTCCCAAAAGCAACAGAAACTCACTTCTTGGTAAAAACGTCAGGGCCAGGGGCCTTTTAAGCTGTCAGAAATTTAGACTCTAGTTCCTACCGATCACACGTCCATCACCTGGGTAGCAGAAGATTAAGACCAAGGAGAGTAATCATGCTAAGACCAGGTACTTGGATTTGGAAATCGAGCAGAATTTAAGAAATAGGAGAGCTAGATCTAGGAGGAGCATCAGCACTGATGTCCTCATTTGAAAAGGACAAGGTTTGCCTTAAAAATGTACTTCACTTTTTTTTTTTGGAGCAGCAAAGCTCTGCAACCAAGACACACCTAAACAAAATAATTGTTTTAATTCTGGTTGATGTCCACATACTGTAGTAAAAAATTACTAGATTAGAAATGAGAAAACAATCTTGATAGCGCCCATCTATTGAGCACTTAGTACATGCCAGGTAAATGTGTTTCCTCATTTAACCTCAGGGCAAACTTGAAGATATATACCATTATTGGCTCCATTTGAAACAGAGGCTTAGAGAGACTATCTTGCCTCAAGTTACAGTCTTGGAGTCCAAATTTGCTTCTAGATCTCTGTCTCTATGGCCATGCTCTTCTCAACCACACCCTACTAGCGCTATTGCCTCAGTTTAATTGTCCGTAAGATTGGGTAGTCTGGAAATTCTACACATCTACGGACAGCCTTCTTGAATCACCACAGGCAGGGTAGCACGTACCTCCACATCGAAGTTGGTCATGTCAGCCTTCCACTTAAAATAATCTTGAACGGCACCTCCAAAATCCCTTGCTGCCTCGTTGGAGGTAAAGCAGTGTTTGTCCCCTGCCCTGTTGCATGTGACTCTGAACTTCAGCACTTGAGGTTCAGTTTCTTGTCTTGTGCTTTCGTCAGTCTCATCTTTACAAGATGCCAAATCATCACCCACTAACGTTGATATCTCCTCTTTGATGGCTGGATTTTCATAGTAATCTAAGATATGTGAATCTAAAGCACTGTCGTGGAACTCTTTAATACCTGTCTCATCTATTTTGTTGTTGTCTTTCCCATTATTAATCTTCCCTTTACTTGAATTCTGATTTATCTTTTTGCGCTTTGTTTTTTTTTTCTTAAAACTGGTGTTAATTTTCCATACTTTTAAAGGGTCTGACCATGGAAGTTTTCCAGCCAATTCTTCAAAATCCTTTAGAATGTCTTCCTATAGAGGACAGAGAATGAAATCCATTCACTTCTCATGACTTTAATTGAACAAATAAACCCCTACTTTGATGACAGACAGGCATTATCCATGAGGGATTGGTTCCAGGACCCCCGAAGACACCAAAACCCAAGGATGCTAGAGCCCTTATATAAAATGGTGTCGTATTTGCACATAACCTACACAAATCCTCCAGTACACTTTCAATCATCTCTAGGTTACTTAAAATACCTAATAAAATGTGAATTCTATGGAAATAGTTGTTCTACTGTATTGTTTAGGGAATAACGACAAGGAAAAAAGTCTGTACATGTTGAGTACAGATGCAACCATCGCAAGCCTAACTATATTTTCAATCCCTGGTTGGCTGAATCCACAGATGTGGAGGTTCAGCTGTACTTTGATCATTATGGTGGGAGGGTGACAGAAGTGCAGGACAAAAGAGAAAATAAAATAATGCCTGCAATTAAGGAAACTCAAATCTCATAAATTAAGATATATATGTGTTAAGTCTCTAAAGAATAATACAAAACAGCATGGGAGATCAGAAGTAGGGCTTCAAGATTAAAATTTAAGCAGTAAGAAACTATATTAAACTTAAATTTATACAGTAAGACACTACCTCCAGGGGAAGGAAGCGGCAGATGAAAGACGTTATGGAGGGCAACTTATCTCTTCCTGACTGACTTCCTTTTGGATCTTCTGAATTGTGTACTGTGTGTCCCTATTAACTATTTTAAAAACCAAAAATTTTAAAACCAAGAAAACCTTAAGAAGTTAAAAAAAATGTCTATCCAATTTCTAAATTGTAGTAAGAGTCATCTTTTTAAAAAAGAAAGTAAATCCAGCAACGCCCCTGCCTTGCATAAAGTCCTCCAGCAGCTTCCGGCAGCACGTCAAGAACCTAAATTCCTCACGGAGCCGAGTACAACCCGACTCCTGCCTGCTTCCCTCACATTGTTTCAGGCCCATCCTTTCCCTCTACTTAGCAGACACTTGCTTCACTCAGTCTCTCTGCTCTGCCAGCCCCTTTCTTACTACTTAATAGCAGTTTATTTCTTTTCTTTTTTTTCTTGTGATATTCAAACTACTTAATACCAGTTTAAAAGACACATCTCCGAGAAGCATGCTCTACTTAAAAGGACTCCTCCCAAGTCACACTCTTCCTGTCTTATTTTCTTTGCAGTGCTTAGTGTTATCCGAGATTACTAGGTTTATCATGTGTTGTTCAACACCAAAGCTCCTCCAAGAACGTACGTGCATGCTGGAAAGGACCTTACCTGCCTGGCCCCTGCTATAAGCCACACACCTAGAGGAGTACCATATAAACAGCATATAAAAGGGTCCATAGGCCGGGCGTGGTGGCTCACGCCTGTCATCCTAGCACTCTGGGAGGCAGAGGCGGGCGGATTGCTCCAGGTCAGGAGTTCGAAACCAGCCTGAGCAAGAGCAAGACCCCGTCTCTACTATAAATAGAAATTAATTGGCCAACTAATATAGAGAGAAAAAATGAGCCGGGCATGGTGGCGCATGCCTGTAGTCCCAACTACTCGGGAGGCTGAGGCAGGAGGATCACTAGAGCCCAGGAGTTGGAGGTTGCTGTGAGCGAGGCTGACGCCATGGCACTCACTCTAGCCTGGGCAACAAAGCGAGACTCTGTCTCAAAAAAAAAAAGGGTCCATAAACAACTGCTGGAAAATACGTGATGAAATGTTAAGATAGAAGGTACAGAGCTGCATCGTTCAGGACAGAGGCTACTAGCAACATGTAGCTATTGTTATAAAATGTAAATGATCTAAAATTAAATAAAAATCAAACATTCCGCTCCTCAGTCACTTTCACCACACTTTACCCACTAACAGCCAGTGGCCACCACAGTGGATGCACAGACACAGAACATTCCCGTCGCAAAGTTCTGCTGTACAGTGCTGGTATGGACAGTGTATATTCCTGAGGATCACAGTAGAAAGAAATCAGTAGCGAATGATGGAATTGAGACTTGAAAATACAAGTGAATGAAGGGGTCTTGCTGCTACCTGAAACCTGACAAAGTAGCTTCAGGATTAGCAAATTCAATTCCATTCACAGAGGCCCTCTGCTATAAAGAGCTTCTAGAGGACTAGAAAGTTTAAGATGGTGCAATGATACCAGCACAACCCCTTTTCTTCAGAAACTATTGTAAAAGAAAAACAACAGAAACACGTTCTACTAAAGTTTTTTTGTTTTTGTTTTTTTTTTGAGACAAAGTGTCGCTTTGTTGCCCAGGCTAGAGTGAGTGCCGTGGAGTCAGGCCTAGCTCACAGCAACCTCAAACTCCTGGGCTCAAGCAATCCTGCTGCCTCAGCCTCCCGAGTAGCTGGGACTACAGGCATGCGCCGCCATGCCCGGCTAATTTTTTCTATATATATTAGTTGGCCAATTAATTTCTTTCTATTTATAGTAGAGACGGGGTCTCGCTCTTGCTCAGGCTGGTTTTGAACTCCTGACCTCGAGCTATCCGCCCGCCTCGGCCTCCCAGAGTGCTAGGATGACAGGCGTGAGCCACCGCGCCTGGCCCTCTACTAAAGTTTTCAAAAGAAAGAAATACCAACTCTTTGTTGAACTAACATGGTTTCTATAACCTTAAACCCTAAGAATTCCCAAGGGCAATGAAGGTCAAACAGAGGTGCAGGAAGACGTGGATGAAGGAATGACCAGGCCTCAGACCAAGGGGAAAGCAGTTTGCAGAGCAGGGAGCACATACACTATGGAATGGCAGGGAAGAAGTGTGTGGGCCGAAGGAGGGGACTTCCCTGGGCCTCCTCTGTACCAAGCAGCAGCAGAGGAGAGACATGGAAGCTGCACAAGGGCTCTCACAGACACGCGGTGTTTGCTGGAAGCTGTCGATAAGGCAGAGTCTCAGGGAGACACTCCTGTGCACGGTGTATAACCCTGAAGCTGCTGATCCCTTAGGCCAGGGAGAAGGAAAGGTTAAAAGAACTCATTCAATGTTACGGAAATTATACCTCAATAAAACTATAAGAAAAAAAGGAGAACAATAATTCTACCCACAACCCTTGGTCAGACCAGGGAGATTTCCTGCTGGCATGGAACACATTCTGTGCTTCTCCCACTACAAATACCTCATAAATGGCAGGTCCAAGAGGAATCCACTCATTCAAAGATGAGCAATTATCAAAAGTTATCAGCAAGGACTTTTATGAAAGTAATAAAAGCAAAAAACAGGAAGCAGAAATAGAAAAACAAACAGCAGACAAAAAACCTAACACAGAGCACTTAAAAACTGCGATCAAACAAGACAACAACAAAAAATGTAATGAGGAAATACCTTTGTACAGTAAGAGCTCAAAGCAATGATATAAAAGCAGAAAAAAGATGACATGAGCCAGGAGCTAGCTAGGGCTTATAGAGTCAAAGAAAAAGTGGAATAAAAAAATAAAATGGGGCCCGGTGTGGTGTCTCACGCCTATAATCCTAGCACTCTGGGAGGCTGAGGCCAGCCTGCGCAAGAGCGAGACCCAACCTCTACCAAAAACAGAAAAAATGAGCCAGGCATGGTGCCGCATACCTGTAGTTCCAGCTACTTGGGAGGCTGAGGCAGGAGGATCGCTTGAGCCCAGGAGTTTGAGGTTACAGTGAGCGAGGCTGATGCCACAGGCAACAGAGTGAGACTCTGCCTCCCCCCCCCCCAAAAAAAAACAAAAAAACCTGAACTGGAATCGCTGGTGGCAGGGAAGGAATGACAGGTGCTGGATGGGCTATCTTGGCAAGATGGCTGTTGGGCCCCAGGGGCAGGTTTGGAGCTGCTGGCACTGGCTAGGGCTCCCAGGTGCCAGGGGCCTCCCTGCCCCACAGCAGGAAGGAATACCAGCCCAACGATATCAAATGCAAGCGCAAGCAGGCTGGATCTGGTGCCTGGCGCCTGAGCACGCCAACCGGCACCCAGGCCGCCACATGCTGTAAGGCCACAAGTTCCTCAGCCATTGAGGAGCATGAGGCCGCCAACCAGACACCCCCCCAGTTAAAGCATTTCCCTTGCCTCAGACCTCGCCTGGAGCTATTTTTGCATGGAGCTGGGAGAGCAGGAATCATTCAGACATGAGTGCCTTCTAAATTGTGGGGTTGACCCAGGGGAAAAAGTTTGGGTGGAAGTCAGACTTTGCCAAGTTCCTTTTGCTTTTACGTTTGTTTTTTTGAGACAGAATTAAACTTTGTTGCCCAGGCTAGAGCGAGTGCCGTGGCGTCAGCCTAGCTCACAGCAACCTCAAACTTCTGGGCTCAAGCGATCCTCCTGCCCCAGCCTCCCGAGTAGCTGGGACTACAGGCATGCGCCACCATGCCAGGCTAATTTTTGTATATATTTTTAGTTGGCCAATTAATTTCTTTCCATTTATAGTAGAGACAGGGTCTCGATCTTGCTCAGGCTGGTTTCAAACTCGTGACCTGGAGCAATCCGCCCACCTCGGCCTCCCAGAGTGTTAGGATTACAGGCGTGAGCCACCGTGCCCGGCCTAGCACCTAGAATATTCTTAAGGAAGGAAAACATTAACTCCAAATAGTTTTATATCCAAATTATTAATCAAATATAAAGGTAAAAGGCAAACATTTCTGAACTCATGCCATGCCATTCAAGATAAAAAGAAAAACTATGACAAAAGGATAGGTAACGTGCCTATCATCTATTTAACTACAGGACTAAAATGAAAACAAATGTAGGCACAACAACTACAAAACAGAAGGTAAATGTTACAAACTGGTGGGTAAATGGAAAGGTAAAGAATGAGAAGATGGGAAGTAATTCAAACATGCTGATATCCTCAACTCTTATGCCCAGAAGTCAAGTTAAAGATGCTAAATAGACTCTAAGTATATTTAAAAGCATAAGGGTCAAAACTAAGAAAACTAATAAAATTAGAATGCAGAGGGAAGAAGTGGGAAATACATCAATTTCATCACTGCTCTCAGCAGAGATTCAAAACATATTGTGTAGGCCAGGCATGGCAGCTCGCGCCTGCAGTCCCAGCACTTTTGGGGGCTGAGGCAAGAGGATCACTTGAGGCCTGGTTGAGAACAGCTGAGCAACACAGAGAGACCCAGTCTCTACAAAAAATTTTAAAAACTCAGGCAAGTGTGATGTGTGCTTATAGTCTTAGATACTCGGGAGATAAGGCAGGAGCATCCCTTGAGCCCAGGAATTCGAGGTTAGAGGGAGCTATAATTAGGCCACTGCACTCCAGCCTGGGCAACAGAGTGAGACTCTCTCTCTGGGAAAAAAATAAAGAGTCAAAGAAAAAAAGTACTATGTAATAAGCCCAGAGACTCAGGAGGCTGAGACAGGAGGATTACTTGAGACCAGGAATTCAAGACCAGCCGGGGCAATATAGTAACACCCTATACCTACAAAAAAAAAACCTTTTAAACATAGTCCCTGTTACTTTGAAGACTGAGGCAGGAGGATTGCTTGAGCTCAGGACATCAAGACTACAGTGAGCTAGGATTATGCCATAGCGCTCCAGCCTGAAGACACAGTGAGACTTCGTCTCGTTAGCTAATTAGCTTGGTGACTCATGCCTATGACTCTAGCACTCTAGGAGGCCAAGACTTGAGGTCAGGAGTTAGAGACCAGCCTGAACAAGAGCAAAACCCTGCCTCCACTAAAAATACAAAAAATTAGCTGGGCATGGTGGGGCACGCCTGTAGTCCCAGCTACCCAGGAGGCTGAAGCCAGAGAATCACTTGAGCCCAGAGTTTGAGGTTGTAGTGAGCTATGATGATGCCACTGCACTCTACCGAGGATGACAGAGTGAGACTCTGTCTGCAAAACAAAAAACAAACAAAAAACCCCCAAAAGTTAACATTTATTCCTGTACAGAACTGTTCATTAAAATTTCAAGGCCAGCATGGTGGCTCACGGCTATAATCCTAGCACTCTGGGAGGCCGAGGTGGGCAGATCGTTTGAGCTCAGGAGTTTAAGGCCAGCCTAAGAGCGAGACCCCATCTATACTAAAAAATAGAAAAAATTAGCCGGGAATGGCACATACCTGTAGTCCCAACTACTTGGGAGGCTGAGGTAGGAGGATCGCCTGAACCCAGGAGTTGGAGGTTGCTGTGAGCTAGGCTGATGCCACGGCACTCTAACCCAGGCAACAGAGTGAGACTGTTCAAAAAAAATTTTTTTTCAAAATACTGAGCCAGGTGTGAGAGCTCACAACTATAATCCCAGCACATTGGGAGGCCAAAGCAGAAAGGATAGCTTGAGGCCAGGAGTTCAAGATCAGCCTGGGCAACAGAGTAGAACTGTGTCTCTACAAAGTATTGTAAAAATTACCCAAGCATGGTGATGCACGCCTGTAGTCCAAGTTACCTGGGAGGTTGAGGCAGGAGGATAACTTGAGCCCAGGAGTTCCAGGCTGCAGCGAGCTATAATCATGCCAATGAACTGCAGTCTGGGCAACAGAGGGATACAATGTCTCCAAAAAAGAAAAAATATTTCAAATACTTAGCAGCAAAACTTTTCAACAGACTGCCTTTCAATACTATAGTTTCATCCATATGATTTAGCTGTCAATGATTATCAGAAGTCTGAACAGTTATGATAGTGTCGAAATTACATTTTTAGTTAATTAAATTTATAATCCTTTTTAGTATGAATTCTTTTAGGTCTGGTCTGACATAAATAACGGTCAGCCTTATTTTTTCTAGGCTGTTGGTTCAGATCATTTTGATTTTTCTTTTTTTTTTGGAGACAGGGTCTCACTATCACGCAGGCTGAAGTAAACTATGGCACGATCATAGCTCACTGCAACCTCTAACTCCTGGGTTCAAGCAATTCTCCTGCCTCAGTCTTCCAAGTAGCTGGGACTATAAGTATGAGCCATGCCCACTTAATTTTTTCTATTTATGGTAGAGACGAGGTTATCAATCTTGCTCAGGCTGGTATCGAACTCCTGACCTCAAGCAATCCTTTTGCCTTGGCCTCCCAGAGTGAGCCACCATACCCAGCCATGACTGGCTTTTAAATAATGTTTTGGAAATGAACCTGTTGCCAATAAATAAATTACAGAATTAGGCAGCATATCATGGTTGTTGTTTTTTTAAAAATAATATTTCTAAGATAGGTAATAAAATTGATAGAAAAATGTTTTTAAGCAGTTGACTCTGGACCTGACCAAAGAGCAGTGTAGAAAAATCCTAAAGCCTTGTTGCAATCTATTTTAAACCTTCAGTATGGGCAGCAGCTGAATATTTCGGACTCAGATAAACACTTGTTGGAGACAAAGCTGTTTTCCTAACAACTGAAGGAGTATTTCGATATTACTTTGGCCTTATTTCAAAAACCGAAGGTAGGGAAGAAAGCAGGGAAAAAGCAGGATAGTGAGGAGATGTTACTTGTAGATGACACATAAACTGTCAACTTGTTCCTTGGTTCACACCCTAGAAGCAATTCTATTTTGGAACTATATATACATATAAATATCAACAAAGCTAACCTTAGGTTTATATCTTTTGTAAGAAAGTCAAACAATTTGTTTTATTACTTATAAACCTTTCTGTTTTTCAACATTGATTTTTTTAAAAACCTTTGGGATAGGCTGTCAGCAAATCTCTGGATTTTACTGTAAAAGCCCCCCAGTATTCTCTATTAAGAGCAATAGTGGCCGGGCGCAGTGGCTCACGCCTGTCATCCTAGCACTCTGGGAGGCCGAGGCTGGCGGATTGCTCAAGGTCAGGAGTTCGAAACCAGCCTGAGCAAGAGCGAGACCCCATCTCTACTATAAATAGAAAGAAATTAATTGGCCAACTAATATATATAGAAAAAATTAGCTGGGCATGGTGGCACATGCCTGTAGTCTCAGCTACTCGGAAGGCTGAGGTAGTAGGATCGCTTCAGCCCAGGAGTTTGAGGTTGCTGTGAGCGAGGCTGACGCCACGGCACTCACTCTAGCCTGGGCAACACAGTGAGACTCTGTCTCAAAAAAAACAAAAAAACAAAACAAAACAAAAAAAGAGCTATAGTAATGCCAAATGACAGGCAGAATGTGAAAAATAACCTTGTGGAGAAGACTGCTGAAAATCAGCCATAATGATTGGGCTAGCTCACCTTCGTTTTTTTGAACTGATAATCTTGAAATTCCTGAACAACCACAAATAAGTTATCAACTGATCTCAAACAATGAACCTGGGGAGGAAAAGAAAAGTTAGAAACAAATTCTGAGAAAGCTTTTCAACAGCACAAGCTATCAACAATTAAATATTTAAAAAATAGGCATAATAACTTTAAAGCAGCTACTACCTTCTATTTTGTATTTTAAAATTTTCCCATCTCCCTAGTATCCCAACTCCCAACCCATCAGCTTCTGCTCTTCCCCTACAGAAAGGGAAGGACAAATGGAAGGACAGAAACTTCAAGTGTTTTGCAGGCAACACCTGTTTGGGGGAAAAGGGAAAGATGAAGACATTTGAGTGGGGTGTTATCATATTTCCCTCATGGCTCTCTATGAGACAGTGTATGCACTGTTTTAAGAACAGAGGGGTTGAGCTCCAGCTCTGTGGTTACTAGCTGAATGACCCTGGGCAAATTATTTATTCTTCCTAAAGCTAATGATTAATGAAGAAAATAACAGTGTCTATCTTCACAAAGCTGCTGGGGCCATTAACTAAAATACTGCATGGAAAACATCTGCTTACCAATTCATCCCACGAATATTTATGTGGTACCTACTACATGGTAGACACTAAAGCTTGGGTTATGTTGGTGAAAAAAAACAGACAACAATCCCTGCACTCATGTTACTTATGTAGTACGAGAGATATACCTTAGTTTTTATTGCAGTGGGATGACAGTCTGCCGACCTTCAATTCTCACCTTCAGATGATTCCTAATTACTTTTGGGAAGAATTTCTTTGAGAAAAATTAAGAGAAAAATTTCTGATACTTCATCACTGAAGTCTAAACTAGTCTTCAGCTAGATGCTGAAGTAAACAAGTTAAAGATTCTTTCTGGTGAATCCAATCATCAAGAAATACTGAAATCACTTCTAAAAATACAGCAAACCCATTAATAATACAGGTTGAGCATGCTGAATCCGAAAATCTGAAACGTTTTGAGCATCAACACAATGCTCAGTGGAGCATTTTGGATTTTCAGATTCAGGATGCTCAATCCAAAAAAATCTGAAATCCCAAACACTTCTGGTCCCAAGCATCTCTGATAAGGGACACTCAACCTGTAGTCAAAAGTACAAATCAGTACCAAATTGAAAATGGAATAATAATTTAAAATCATCTGATTTGGAGCAGAGCAATGAAAATCAAGAGGGATTCCAAAGGGTCTAAAAACTGGAAAGTAACCACAAAATGAATTTAGAAAACTATTTTAAATATTGCTTCATTCAAACCTGAGCCAGACTTTCCACTGAAATGACAAAATATATCTTGCCACGGTCTCTGCTGATTTTGCATGATGACCCCAATTTCTCTCTCACTTCATCTGCTGCTGTTTGCTCAAAGCCAGTAGGTACAGTGGCTCCAATAGTGACTAGAAGCTCAGACTCACTTCTGAGGTCACTTTCTGTCACTTGTACAGATCTCTGGTTCTCATGAAGGTTCACATCTGCGAGTTGGTTAGTGGCTTCTTCAATGTCAGACATGTTGGCAATGCTCCCGAGATCACTAAAACAGTCCCTTTACAAGCAGTACAGAAAAGGAAAAGACATAAAGTCTAAATATTATCATCTTACATTTCAATTATAATCAAAACATCTCCTTTGGAGGGCAGGAAGAACAAGGCAACATAACGGATATTGCCATAATCAGTCAACACACCTGATTAACCTATGTTGATAAAAACCATCTCATAACCACCAACAGAGGCAGTGGAATACATTCAAATATATTTCTTGATCTATTCCTACTAGCTAGAGGTTAAGAACATGGAGCTTTGGAGTTTCAGATAAATATGGGTTTGAATTCTCACCACCACCACCCAGGTTGAATGACACTAAAGCCAGTTAATTCTCACAACCCTGAAAATAAAGTAGAGCTGTTGGGAGACTTAAGAGTGACACACTTTCAGGCCAATGATTACAACTCTTTAATAGGATGTCTACCTTCCCTCCTCTTGTCAAGTGGAGAGCATTTCGTGTAAGGGAGATCTAGGACAGATCTGAAATACCATGTTTCCCCGAAAATAAGACCTACCCATAAGATAAGCCCTAGCAGGATTTCTAAGCATGTGCGCAATAGAAGCCCTATCCAGAAAATAAGCCCTAGTGACGGCGTGGCTACACAGAGCATCTGCACAACCCATGCATGTCATCTCGGAGCGGTCTTCTAGACGAGCAGCCCTTCTCATCTGCCCCATGAGAGCTCTAGTGCTCGACAGGAGAGATCGGGGCCAATGGTTCTAAAGGAAATAGAGTCGCAAGACATTCAGGATGGGATTCAGGGTTTGAAGAATGATGATGATGTTCCAGAAGATGACTTCACTCTATTTGAATCAATGTAGACGGTTGTACTGTACTTAAAAAAAATAAATAACACATCCCCTGAAAATAAGCCCTAGGGTGTCTTCTTGAGGAAAAATAAATATAAGAGCCTGTCTTGTTTTCTGGGAAACATGGTAGTAAACCACGTTTCCTGTCTCCGAGCCTTGGTGTGTGTTTGGGGCGGGGGTGGGAGGGGCGGTGTCGGGGAGGAGAGGGATCCATAGATCTCACTAGATTTTCAAAGCTGTTTGTGACTTTAAAACGACTTAAGTGAGTTCAGAGTACACCCTGTCCTAGTGCTGTCCCAGGGACAGACGACAGGATTTGACGCTAGGTCAGTTCCCGCCCTTAAGGAGCTCAGAGTCACTGTAAATACCATCTCCACCTTCTAAACAAAGACAGGTGAAGTCAGCGAGACGACACGACCTTCCCAAGGTCAAAGGGCCAACCTCAGTGGCGCAGAACGGAATGGAACTCACGCCTCCCGGTTCCCACCCACCGGGCCCGCGGGCACAGGCATCAAGGGGAGCGGGTGAAGGGCAGGGAGAGGATTCCCCGCGGCCGCGAGACAAAAGCCGTCCCTCCGTTCTGAAGCCGAGTCGCCGGAGGAGCCACAACCCGGCCATTCCCGCCCGCCACTCCGTTACCGGCCGCCGGCGCAGATGCTTCCCCGCCGGCCTCGCGCGCGAACTGGTCACGTAATCACGCCGCCGCCGGAAGCTGCCCTCACCACCACCCGGAAACGGAAGTTAGGCCGCAGGTCACGGTGACTCCCCTTTAGGGGCGGGTGTCCGGACACAGTCGTGAGGAAAGGCGCATGCGCGGGAAGTTTTGTGCTTCGGGGAGTTCTATGGGCGCGGGAGTTCCGTAGGGCAGGGAGTTCTAGGCGGTCGGGAGTTCCGTGGGGCCCCGAGTTCTGGGCGGTCGGGAGTTCTGGGCGGCCGAAAGTCCCGTGGGCCGGGAGTTCTGTGGGACGGGAAGTTCTGTGCGGCCCGGAGTTCCGTGGGACCGCAAGTTCTGTGCGGCCTGGAGCGGCGGGTGCTTTTGGAAGCTGACCGTGGACCTCCGCGCGGTCGGTGCTGACACCGAGGGTTTGGCTGTGCCAAGCGCTGGGTACGCGCTTCACTGGCGTCCTCTCGTTTGGAACAAATCTCATTTTAACATCGGAGAGCCTGAGTCGCAAAGAAGTTAAGTATCTTTCCCGAAATGTCAAGCGACTAGTTCCTAGTTTCTGTGTTGAGTTTAATATTTTTGCAATGCTACTTGCACACACCCGTGCCTGCAGGCAATTGCTTAAAATCATTTTGCCCCTGACTGGCCCACTTACCCTTTACCCTCACCATCCTGGGATTTGTGGTGTTTAACCAATAAATAGTTTGTATTATTTTAATGTAAATTCTTGGTAAACAACTCTGGAGCTGCCTTTTTTTTTCCATTGGAAATCCACTAGTGATTGAGAGGCCAGACCGGACTGAAAAAATAAGTAAATAAAAGATAAAAATCCATTTGTAACTGCTGCAAATTGGAGTGTATATTCAGGGCATCTTAAATCTATGCTCTGGGTTGCAATACTCAAGTTTTGCCCAAATAAATACTTGTATTAATTTTGCCTCAGTTTCTTCCTTTTAGGCCAACAAAAGAAGAAACTTTTACAACTCAACTAAAACGGCGGTATAAAATGGGCAGAGGACTTGCATATGTTACCAAAAGTACAGTATTTGTCCCTGAGGTGAATCAGAACAAAGAACAAAAACAAGTGGTTTGTGGAAAAGGAAAGAGAAATTTATTAATTTGCTAGCAAATGAGGAGGGCAGTGGACTCAAAGACTGCCATCCTGACTTCAAGCAGAAAAACAGGGTTTTCAAAAGGGGGATTTTCTGCAGTTGGGCTCTGATCTGTAAGACCTGCGTCATGTCACGTGTCCTGGCTTCTGGCTTTTGTTATTTAACAATAATTGGTGGATTTGGTAGCACTTATCTCTGGGATCTCATCACCCTTGTGACCTTTGTCAGGAAACTTCTGTTGAGCCATCTCCTGTGGTTTAAGATGCCAGGATACAAACAGCAAAGAACATTTTTCTGCCCTTTTTATTACTGGCCCCGGGCAGATACAGGTGTTTTTTTTTGTTTTTTTGTTTTTTTTTTGAGACAGAGTCTCGCTTTGTTGCCCAGGCTAGAGTGAGTGCCGTGGCGTCAGCCTAGCTCACAGCAACCTCAAACTCCTGGGCTCAAGCCATCCTCCTGCCTGAGCCTCCCGAGTAGCTGGGACTACAGGCATGTGCCACCATGCCCGGCTAATTTTTTCTATATATATTAGTTGGCCAATTAATTTCTTTCTATTTATAGTAGAGACGGGGTCTCGCTCTTGCTCAGGCTGGTTTCGAACTCCTGACCTCGAGCAATCCGCCCGCCTCGGCCTCTCAGAGTGCTAGGATTACAGGCGTGAGCCACCACTCCCGGCCCAGATACAGGTTTTAATTCCCAAAAAGAGTGGGAGGGTTTTTTTTTTTTTTATTTTATTTTTTATTTTTTTTTACGTGACACATCAAAGGAAAGAGTGGGAGGGTTTAAAGAAACACTTCATAAAACATTTTGTTCCCCTTTTTCAGACCTTTACCTCTGTTACAAATAGAGATTTCTCCAAAGATACACAAATAGCCAATAAGGGAAACAGAGCAGGGACCTCTCTTAGGGACCTGTGGAGGTGGAGTGGGGGCCAAGCATGGAAGTAAAGGAAAAATCTTGAGTCCGTTGAAGGCATATTGGAGGTACCTAGCTAACCTTGAAAAGTAAATTAGCAACCTGTTAAGCAAGGAGATAATAATAAGTAGTCCACCAAGCAAGCCAGAGCCAGGAGTTGTTTTAGTTCCCTATGAAAACTAAAAGATTCTAGCCTTTTTTTTTTTTTTTTTGAGGCAGAGTCTTGTTATGTCACCCTTAGAGTGCCATGTTGTCAGCCTAGCTCACAGCAACCTCAAACTCCTGAGCTCAAGTGATCCTCCTGCCTCAGCTTCCTGAATAGCTGGGACTATAGGGGCACACCACCACACCCAGTTTATTTTTCTGTTTTTAGTAGAGACAGGGTTGGGGGGAAGAGGTCTTGCTCTTGCTCAGGCTGGTTTCCAACTCCTGACTTTGAACAATCGGCCCGCCTTGGCCTCCCAGGTGCTAGGATTACAGGCGTGAGCCACCACACCCAGCCAAGGCTGTATTTCTTTAACCAATTACAAATCAAAGAATCATTGAACCCACCTGTAACCTGTAAGCCTCCACTTTGCCATGTCCTCCCTTTTGGGGCCCAACCATGTACCCCTTCCATGAATTGATTTATAATTTATCTGCAATTCTTGTCTCCCAAAAATGTATAAAACCAAACTGTAACCCAGCTACCCTCAGGCACCTTTTTTTAGGATCTCTTGAGTCTCTGTTTTCTGGGCCTCTCATATTCAGCTCAGAATAAACCTCCTTAATTATTTCACAGAGCTTGAGGTTTTATTTTTTTCTGTGAACAGACCTGATGCTATCTCCAGGTAGGTCGTGTTAGAATTGACTCGATGACACCCAGTAAGTGTCGGCTGCAGAACTGATTGCTCACTTGGTGGTGTCAACGGAAAGAAGCCAAACTCGGTAAAATAATTTTAAAGAGATTTATTCTGAGCCAAATTTGAGGACCATGACCTGGAGCCACAGCCAAGAGGCTTTGGGCAAATGGTCTCGCTGTGGCTGGGTTATAGTTTGGTTTTTATGCATTTCAGAGAGACAGGGGTTACAGGTAAAGCCATCAATCAATATGTGGTAGGCATACCTTGATTTGGCCCAAAAAGGTGGAACATCTCGAAGGGGGGTGGCTTACAGGTTATAGGTGAGTTTAAAGATTCTTTGGCTTGTAATTGGTTAAAGACACGAAGCTTTGTCTAAAGGCTTGGAATGTTTTAACACAAGGAGCTGTTATCAGAGATAAGATATTGGACAGAGATTTGTTGTGTAAAATGAGGACCTGAAGGTTTGTTTTGCATACCCGGAGGCCTATTAATGGGTTACAAAGAAAGTTCCCAAGAAGGGAGGGGGGCATGATGAGGCATATCTGACCCCCCTCCTCCTGGCAGACAATTTAATTTTAAGATATTCCTTTGGCCAGGAGGGGGTCCATTCAGTCAGCCGGTGGGGGTTGAGCCTTAAAATCGTACTTTAGTTCACAGTGGCACGAGAACACCCCACATTTAGTCACAGAAGTATTCTGTGTTGATTGTTGTGGTGTGAGAGCAGAGGGAAAACATGGTTTGAGTTTTCCCTAAACATTTGGTGTTAGAGGGAATGGTTTTTTCTGGCAGGGATCTAGCTCATGGAAACATGCGGTTTGGGAAGAGAAAGGATAAAAGGGTGGGGGCTGAGGAACCTTTGATTCCTGAGTGTCCATGGTCTCCGTGGCAGGGAGCTGACGCAGCGCTTTGTTCAGTTACTAAAGATAAAAGTGACCAATGGAGGCCGGGCTCGGTGGCTCACGCCTGTCATCCCAGCACTCTGGGAGGCCAAGGCAGGAGGATCACTCAAGCTCAGGAGTTCGAAACCAGCCTGAGCCCAAGAGTGAGACCCACATCTCTACTAAAAATAGAAAGAAATTAATTGGCCAACTGAAAATATATAGAAAAAATGAGCCGGGCATGGTGGCGCATGCCTGTAGTCCCAGCTACTCAGGAAGCTGAGGCAGGAGGATCGCTTGAGCCCAGGAGTTGGAGGTTGCTGTGAGCTAGGTTGACGCCACAGCACTCACTCTAGCCTGGGCAACAGAGTGAGACTGTCTCAATAAAAAAAAAGTGACCAATATGTGAACTAAAATGCTCACCACCCCCATACACCAGCTGACTGAATGGACCCCCCTCCTGGCCAAAGGAATATCCTAAAGCAAAATTGCCTGCCAGGAGGAGGGAGGTCAGACGTGCCTCATCATGCCTCCCTCCCTACTTGGAGACTTCTTTTGTAACCATTAACAGGCCTAAGGGTATGCAAGACACACCTGCAGGTCCTCAATTTATGCAACAAATGGTGGCTTATCTCTGGTAGACAGTTTAGCTTCATGTCTTTAGCCAATTACAATCCGAAGAATCTTTAAAGCCACCTATCACCTGTAAGCGCCCCCCCCCTCGAGATGGCCCACCTTTTTGGGCCAAACCAATATATGCCTACCACATATTGATTGATGGCTTTACCTGTAACCCCTGTCTCTGAAATGTATAAAACCAAACTGTAACTCAGCCACAGTGAGTCCACTAGCTCAAGGCCTCTTGGCAGTGGCTCCGGGTCATGGTCCTCAAATTTGGCTCAGAATAAATCTCTTTAAAATTATTTTGCAGAGTTTGGCTTTTTTCCGTGGACAAATGTGTTAGGGACCGACCTTCCACAACCCCACCGGACAGAAAAGCAGAGACATCGAGGATGCAATCACACAAGAGGAGGTTTATTTTCTGGCTAACCAGGGTCCAAGCCCCAGAGCACCAACGCAGTGGCCACTCTCGCAGGCAAGGACCCCGACCGGGGTTGCAGCGTGCCTTTTATCCCTATGGTGCATATGCTATGCATTGACTGATCACGCGTGGATCATGCATTGACCTTTAACATGATTGGCTGGCTGGTAGCCCCACTATACAGGGGTTCGAACAATGCAAAGTTGGCACAAACAAGCAAGCAACAGTTTCCAGAAGTGGACGTCTCAGTTAGCCTTCCCGGATGTTGCTTCCGGCTTCACTGGGGGTGTGGG